ACATGCAGCGTCGAGAACGGGACTCAAATTTGTCTCCATGGTGGGATTGATTGTGGGCATAGGCAAGGCATCCGAAAACCCGGATATGACTATATGAGGGGGTTTTTTCATAGATCATGGAATATGGGGTTTTGCCTTTGTGTAGCTCAGAGGGTGTTCGGTTAATTAGATACGCAGCGGTTAGAATACAATCACCCCAAAATTTAAGGGGTAGGTTGGCTTGGAAGCGAAGGGCTCTGGCAATGTTGAGAATGTGACGGTGTTTTCGTTCGACTCGACCATTTTGTTGTGGGGTACCGACGCAAGAGGATTCAAAAATAATCACATGATTGTCAAAGAAAGATTTTAAACAAGTGAACTCTATACCATTGTCACTTCGTACAGTTTTCACTTGTTTATTGAATTGTCGCTCAATCATGGAAAAAAAATTACGCAAGACAGTAGGAGCTTCATATTTGTGATTTAATAGATACACCCATGTTGCCCGAGTGCGAGACGGAGTACGGTACCCACCCCATAAATCACAATAAATCAAGGAAAAAGGAGTAATGGATTTATTCAAACTAATTGGGAAAGAGTCATGACATTGTGTTGAACGAAAACACACATCACAAGGGGAATCAGGGATATTGGTAATTTTGGGTAAGTGGAGAAAAGTGTTGACAGTGGTGTAGGAGGGATGACCCAAGCGCTTGTGCCAAATGTCCAGATCCTTCGCCTCCTTCACAGTACAGACTTTGTCCTTCACACCTTTCTTGAGATAATATAGTCCTTCAGCCTGCTCAACCATTCCAATCACCATCTTCGACATATAGTACTGTATAATACAAATTTTATTATTAAACTTGACAATTAAATTCTTTTTCTCAAGAAGTTGTGAGACAGATATAAGATTGCAGTTGAGTTGAGGAACTAACAAAACATTTTCTAAGGTGATCAAATTATCTACAACCACACTCCCCTTTTGGTTGGCTATCGCACAATCTCCATTTGGTAGGCCAACTGAGCAAGGTTTTATGACTTCCAAATTTTCAAGACACTTCTTATCACCGGTCATATGTTGACTGGCTCCACTATCAATGATCCAAGAAGTATTAGTCATACCTGAAAATTTACTTTCCATACCCGAATCCTTCTCGTTTGAGAGTCCCATAAGTGCATTCCATTGATTGGTTGTGAGAGAAGGTAGATTCAGTTGATGGAGCTCACGCCCTCCATCCGTTGCGTTGGCCTGAGCCGTGTGTGCCGCCAGTCCGCTTGCTGGACCGCCACCAGCTCCGCCGCGGTTACCTCGGCCGGCATTGCCCCCCCTGCCGCCGCGCCGTCCCCCTGTGTTGTTGCCGCGGCCATTACCTCGTCCCGGGTTCAGGACACGTGGGCGATCTCCCCACCATTCAGGATATCCAACGAGTTGAAAGCAACCACTCTTCTCGTGTCCACTCAGTCCACAATGTTTACATTTTAAATCTTTAGTTGCGTCACGGTCAAATTTGGAGGTCACGACAAAGCCCACCGGGTTACGTTCCTCCTCTTGAGTAGTCTTCAAGACCCCTTCCTGCTGGATGATGGTGGAGTATACGCGATTTAGTGGTGGCAAGGGTTCTGTGGCGATGATGTTAGATCGTAGACTCCCATATCCTTCGTTATCCAATCCCATCAGAAATTGGTGAACATTTTCTTTTTCGCGTTAAATGACAAGCGCTTTGCTTATCCCACACTTGCATCCATGGCACTTGCAAGCGGGGATTTTTTCATGATCGCCGAGTTCGTCCCATATGGTTTTTAATTTTCCAAAGTACGTAACGATGGACTGACCGTTTTGCTTGCAATTTGCAAGTTCCTTCTTCAGTTGATGAATTCGAGGACCGTTTGCAACATAGAAACGATCTTGGATATCCTTCCATAGTTCTGCTGCTTCTTCTACCTGTGTGATGGAGTTTCTCAGGCTGCCATCAATTGTGTTGTAAATCCATGAGACCAACATGGCATTCACAATCCACCATTCTTCATAGTTTTCATCTCCCTCTTCTGGACAAGGGATGGTGATACGACGAAGCAGCTTCGACGATCGGCCGGAGCACAAGGCGTGCACTGCTAGGGTTTGGGGAAGGGAGGTTGACGTGAGAGAGGAGAGAATTTAGAGAGAGAAAGAGGTTTTAGGAGAAAGGGTTTGTTATTTCATAAGGAAAAGAGAGGTTAAGGCTCCCTTAAATAACAACAACTTTCCCAATCCTACTTGAACTAGATTATCTATCCTGTCGGTTCAAAGAAAAGCGACGAGGTAAAGAACCGAAAAGAAACCCTCGAAGGAGCTTATAACTTGCTCACCTAAGAAAAATCTAGA